TAATGTCTTCTAAGTATCATTGCCTTACTTGTTTCCACATGTTCAAAAGCCAGGGGCTAATGACAAGAAGACGAGCAAATGTTTGACATGCACAAGAATGTCATATGGTGAAAGATGACAAAGAAATCACAAACTCTTTGCACTGTTTAGCTACACTCTCAGTTTCGTCAAATGTACATGAATCTGCATATGGCACACTTGACAATGTGGTGAGTAACATACACAGTGCTCACTGAAATGCTAGTAAAACGAGCTTGTTATACTCATTACACACCAGGAGGACAAGAAAGCAGCTGAAACACAACATATATGCCAAAAATATAACATTTATGAATGTAAGTATTTACATTTTATGATACATTTTATGTTACGTGCTGCAAATGTGAGCAAGATGCATCTGCACGCAGTGTTTAAACATGCGTTGTGAACCCCAACAAAGTCAGCCTAAATAAAATCACAATTGAGATAATCGCAAATTCAGTTAATTCAATTGTATCTATATAGCACAAAATCACACCAACAGTCTCCTTAAGGTACGTCATATTGTAGGGTAAAGACTAATAACAAAGAGAAAAACCCAACAATCAAACAGTCTCCTCTGACCAAGCACTTGGTGACAGTGGGGAGGAAAAATGCATTCGTTTGTATTTTAACTTACCAATAAAGGTTTTACAAATAAGCTACACCTAAAAAATCCTTACTTTTTTTGGCTATGTGATGGTGTGATGACAGGGGACCGCTTATGAATAATATGAAACTGCATTCTGCAATTCTGCATGACTTTAATGCATCAGAATTAGTTGCTAACACCAAATGCTAGAGTTTATGTGCGAAAATAGCTCTGGAGTCAACATGGTAACAGTTAGCATGTTGTTACGCTGTAAGTTTTAACATGATGGCCAGAAACTGTCTTGATGTCATCTGATTTGTGTTTGGATGGGAATGTCACTTAGCTCTGTTTTTATTCAGTAAATGGCACATCCTGACTGCTGATCGACGCTGGAGAAGCTACAATCAGCTCTCTATTTATTGCCTTTCTCAGTATTTAAAAAGCAGGTTTGCAAGTTGTTATTCGATGTATGGAAATCTGCAACTAGTGTTTGGATTATCATAGTTATACAATTATATTACACCATGACTTAAATTTAATCAGGTGCATTTACCTTTGTGGCGAGAAAAATGAAACTCTTTGTACAGCGTTACTACATTAGAGTTTACAAAAGACTTACATACAGTGCAGGAGCACATTTTATTTTTATTTTTAAACTAAAGCCAGACAACAAATGTGTTCCAACTAATCTGCAACACCATCAAGAGTAGGTCTTTGTTTCTAGATGTACTACATTAGTTTGGGAGCATACGTTTAACTGCTTCCCCCCTCAGATAGATTTATTGTTTTCCAGTTTTACAAGAAAAGGATGGATGCATTGTGAAATCAGCACTTTTAAACAAACCACAAACAGAGCTCATTGCCCAGTGTTCTCACATACAACAGAAAAGATTACGACAATAATGTACAATCAGCCCTCCATTATCGAGACCTTTCAAAAAAAAATGTTTTTTTTTTTAACTGCTACAGTAATTCAAATAAGTTATACGTTTAAATGTTGATAGCTGTTTTTGATTGGCCACTCATCTTGCCTATGAAACCAATGAGCACTGCTTTAGGAAACCATGAATCTGTCCAGCCAACTATACCAAAGCAGGTAACCATCAGGTACCAAGTCTATTATTGTTAGAAATCAAACAATATTTTTTTTCCTGAAATTAGAAAAGGCTTTAACATTTCTGTGCAGATGCTGTCAATACTAAATTCCTCCATATCAAACTTTAGAACACAGCTACAGCTTGTAGAAGCTAACCTGTACAGCTGACACAAATGTGCTAATGTAACCGGGTCATAAATTACATATTGTTATAATTACATAAAATGTGTTCGAAACCCCAAACTATTCCTGGTATATCTGACTTAGGACCTCCAAGCCTGTAGTTATCTTCATTATCCTTATCCCTTTCTTCTTCTTTGGTGCAACCCTATAAATTTGGGGTACCCCTTTGGGCTTTTCCCCTTTTCTTCAATTCCCCTGTGGGAGAGGTCAGCTTCATTTCTTTTCCAACACTAATTATATTTTTATCCACCCTGATGTTTCTGATTGTGTGTTTTTAGTTCATTATTGTCATAATTACGCCTGTCTTTACTAGATGCTGTGAATATGTGGTACGTGTGTGCGGCGTATGTGTATAGGCAATGCTAATGCTAGCATGAACAGATAAGCCTTGCTAGCTTGTTAGTTGGCGTGGGTTGAGCTAACTCTCATCCTATTTATATTTGGTTATAGGAGCTGAAGTGGGCACGTTTTTTACTTGGAGGTCTTTCAGTGTCAGACACAATGCAGGAACAGACCAGTTACACTAACATCTTAACTTTTAATGTCAGCTCAGGCTAATAAGACCTCTTTGTTTTTTAGTTTGACCCATTGGCTATGCTAAGTGGAAGCCATTTATTAGTCTCATCCACATTAGGACCAAATTTCATTACGTTTCCAAACTGACAGCCACAACACTGTCCGTGCGTGAAAAAGCAAATTTCATTCCAAGCTACGAGAGAGAAACTTACAGTCAGAAGAATCAGAGAAAAGCCAGCACACACCTTCAAGTACAGTACTCAGCAGGCCTGTTCAGTTATACATCGATTTTAAAGGTACAGAGAGGAAAAATCCCCTCCAACAAATCGCGTGATTGGTGAAAGCGTGTGTGTGTGTTTGCCCTGATAGAACCCCTATGCGAGTATTTTGAGACGATCTTATCACCGAGTCAGACAGAAATTCCTCCCTGTCTCTCTCCCTGTCATACACACACAACACACACAAGCAGCTGAACGGCACATTTCGTTGGAGTCACAGGGGGACGATCCCAGCAGATATAAGTCTACTAAACCTCCAGCAGAAACACTCTTTTTCAAGGCAGAGCTGTTTGTTGTGGTTTAAAGGGAACGTTAACTGATTGTATGATAAAAGAGGCCAGGGCAAAGGTATGTATGGACCACACCCTGCTGTTGCGCTTTTTTTTTTAAAGCTGTGAGTACACAGCTGGTTTTTAAAGGAATGAAAAAAGATGCTAAAGTGCCAAAGCACATGTCCAACGCTTGTTTTTGTCCTAAAGAAAACACTGCAAGCTTTAGATGATATGCCAAAGGATTACCTGCACAATAAAAGAGATTCATTTGCACTCTTGAAAGTTCTTACCAACATCAAGGGGTTTTTTCGGGGGGGAGGTTGTGACAGCTACGCTCATTCTGATACATGTTTAAGTAGGCTTCGCGTTCAGCTCACTTCCTGTTATTCACCCAGCTTGTAGCTCAAAACAGGAGTCCTCTAACCTGTCAGAGCTAACAACAAAAGCTACATGCAGATTTCTTGGCTGCCTCTGTTTACCCAAGTCTCACTCCTACTCATGCCTCTTGGCCTCCGCTCTGGTTCTCGGCTCCAGAGTGCTGGGGGTGGGGGGCAGGGGATCAGAGACCACACACACACACACACACAAGCTGACTTGTCTATACACTCGACACACCACATGTTGTGAGGAAGCTGATACACTTCCATTCATATAGACAGGCAAACAATAGATGGTTCCCCCTCAGTCATTACTCAGAAAGTCAAAAACTTGACATTTGATGGACTTCTGACCGAGTGTGGATGATATGGGACACAGTCTGCTAAAATAAGAACACTTTCACAAATCAGATAAATTGTTTGACCTCAGAAAGTGTGCAGTGACTGTTAGTCATTCATAAACAACTGTGGACAACTTCTCCAAAACTATCCAAAAAGCAATCTTACACATTCATGATGATGTTCAACAGAAAACTGATTTGTAGGGTGAATGCAGGTGGACAGTTTATATTATTTGCAATTAAAGCATCTTCTTGCTCGCATTTCAGCTCAAACTCTTCTGAGAGGGGTGACGTGTGCTTTGGGAGGACTGCCGACCTCAGTATTGCTAAAAAAGCTGGCTAAGGCTCTGCCCCTGGAAAACGTGCATAACAACTCAATAAACTGCTTCTGCTTCCAACATCAACTTTAACTAAAGGTCTCCAGTTAACTTCTGGGCACAACAACCCCCTCCTCCAAAAAGAAAATCCTCAGTGACTCCTCATAAAGGTCAACGATACCATGGCTACACTACGCAGACTTCATAGGTTGCCCATTCACCTTTCAACACCGTCCACAAGCGAGCTCGGGGAGGCTTGATCGAGTAGGTTTGTGGGTTTCTTCTAACACTGTGAGGACCTCTCCACCCGACCCCAGCACGTAAACAAATAAAGCTCCAGTTTCATCATCTAGAGGGGGCTGTTTCCTGTCCAAAGCAGCCCTGAGCCCCTTCTCCCCCTTTACCGCACACACACGCGCGTCCGCGCACACACACAGAGCTCTACATCGCCGCCTCATCAGAGCCGCTAGGCTCCCCCGCCCCCAAAGTGCCAGCCTCTTTCCACTGCTCAATTGCAGAGAGGAATGAAGGGATTTGAGGGAAGAAAGAGGGAAAGAGGGGGATGGGTGGTTAGAGAGGCAAAAGGGGATTGAGAGTATGCACAGGGATCTTATTGCAGCTTCGTCGCAGTGAAATATTTTGCTGTGCAGAAAGCATAGACGGGGGAAAGAGAGACAGAAAGCCTACACTGCTGTGGCATCTAGATAGCGAGACCCCAGACCCCCACCGAGCCCTCCGTGCCTCTCTGACAATAGAAGCTTTATGCAGCGGAGTTTTCTGTTGCCTTTGCGGCCTTTGAAAACAGGGGAAAAGCACAACATAACACCACCAGCAAATATAATTTGGCTTTTATGTAAACATTCAGACGGGATGCTTGTCTCAAAAACTTTTTCCCCATTTGTGCTTCCAAACTTCATTGTGAGAACTTTTCCTTTCTTCAGAATCAGCTTTCTTCACCATGCACTGCAGGAAAAGCAAAAAAGCCAGCAGTTATTATGCAAGTTACTCACCTGTGTAGTCTCTTGGCATATTGAGAGGCGGATTGGAGAAGAGGGGTGGCGCAGTTTCAGTGTAAGACAGAGATGAGTCTGGGAAATGTAAGAAAAAGCAGAGGCATACAGTAGAAGTGTGAGATCCAGGTTAATTTTTTCCCTGCAACTATGATTTTGGTAATCAAGCACTCCTTAAATCCTTTATCAAACAATAAAAATCTTCTCATTATTAAAGCTCAAGCTTCGCTGCTTTTTAGACTGTCGATGGGACACCTTGGACTTTCTTTGACAGTGCACAAAATGATTAATCAATCCGTTAATCTGAAAGCATAATTGTCAGATCAACGAAACAGGGGACTGTTTTATCATAACACACCGCCATCATGTGTCTCTTTCAGCACAAGTGTCTTATATCAAATAAAGTCTGTATTTTCAGATGAAAGATATAATGAACTCCTTTCCTACTTTGTTTTGTGGTGGCCATTTTTTTTCTCCAAACTCACCCAGTGGCTTGTGTTCATCTGAACGGGACAGAGAGTATGGAGGTGGAGGCGATTCTGTAAGAACAGCCAAAAAACATTGAGGTTAAAATAAAGGTTCAATGAAGACTGCCACGCACAGTATGCCCTGTTAGTTCATTACTGTTTTATTAATCATATTGTAAAGATGCATGAAATCCACGAGGTTTTATGAGACGCACAATTATGCAAGGAGGCACACAAGAATGTAACATGTCGAACTCTGTCAGTTCAAAATTGAAGACATTTTGCTTAACACCCCAAAGAAAGAAAATCTAGAGCCTACACTCACATAACAAGTATTTTCTCCTCGGGGAAGTCTTTAAACATACCTGTTGTTATAGCAAATGGTAACACATGCAAGACCTGAATGCAGCACTGCAGATCAACTTTACACTGTGTTATTTTTCATGGGAAAATATGTTCATAAGGCTGTGTGTGTCTGTAATTTCACTTTGTATCGACATACCTTCTACCCTAGATCAAGGAAAAAAACTTAAAGCGTGGGGAATATTTGCACAGCTCATATCTGGCATTCCTTTGGAGCTTTTTAAATAAATATGCTTAATCAACACAAGTCACATTGCATCAGGCCCCCAGTTAAGTATTTCACCCTAGACAATGTATTTGTTACTTCTTCATTATCTTTCCGTTCTTTCACACAAGCTCTCATTATGACTTTTGTGTTAAAGCGGCTCTGAAAGCTCCATAATTCTGCCGCTGCTGGAATAAATCCTTCACTCCAAAGTGGACACAAGTTTGTGGCTGCGGCCCCTTTAAGAGCAGAGCCAGTAATTGCCGGAGTCCTCAGTCAGTCAGATACCCAGCGAGTCAGTCTGGCGCCAGCACTATGCAAACTGTATATTATCGGCACTCCTTAACCTAAATAACAAGAGGAGGACCTCCTTGTCAGAGGAAAAAGAGCCTAAGTGCAACTTGAGTGCGACCTCCATTTGGATGATGTGGAAAGCGCCAGAGTTTTTGCGAAAATTGAAATAAGCGTGTAACGTAATTGGAATGTGCAGAAGGACCAAAGTAAAGGTTGCCCAAAGTTAAAAAAAAAAAAGAGTTATGAATAGATCATAAACCTGTAAGACAGACGATAAAACACAAGAAGAAAAAACAGACTCGCACTGTCAGCTGGAAGTGCAGCCAGTTAGACGCCTGCAAATGCACGATGAGTTCATCTGTAATAACTGCAGGAAAAGAAATGCTTGACACTTTAACAATACTGACTTTCTTCTTCAGCTGCAGGCCTCAGGCGAGCGATACATATTTGTTGGAATTTCCCATTATATTATGCTATTCGTTATACTGTAGTTATACAGGTCATCAATCTTTATGTAGCATAAAATACACTTTTTTTTATTTGTATGAGACTAACTTTCTGCAAGGCCTATCAGCTTGGAGGGGATTCTGGGGGGGGGGAGACCAGGGGCCCTCGTGAAGGTGTGTGTGATGGTTTCAGATAACTGAATCTCGAGGTTGGATATATTGGCGGATATTTCGGTGTTTACGGCATTTATAATGGTCTTTTCTAAAGGATGATGTCTGATTAATGAGTTTGATCGATGTTCTCTGATTCCACAACCCCAATCTTCCGGTGTCAGTGTCCTTACCTGGCCCACATAAGCGGCTGTAGTGATGAGGATTGCAGCACACCTTTGCGCTGTCCACAGCACCGAAGCTCTGGCAGTGGCACAGCGGTTTGAGTCGCGCTGAGAGCGGCAGGTCGCCCCAGCGGAACAGCTTACAAAGGAGATAGTATGGAGAGATGTGATGAGCACCGAGCCGCAGCTCAGTATTCGGCACCATAACGCACTCGCCGGGTATCCCTCCTTTGGTCTCCACAGCCTTCACCAAGGCGTCCAAAGATCTCTCCTTGAGTCTCTTCAAAAAAGCGTGAGCGGTGCTCGCAAGGTCCTCCTCCAGCACCCCACGCCTCGGTGCGCACTGACAGGGGCCAGCTCCGTCTTTTCTCGCGGCCCAGTAAGAGCTCCGAGGTCTGAAATCCCATTCCCCAAACAAACAACACGTCACCGTCCTGCTGTCGCTCTCCTGTCCTCGCCGAGAGCCCCTGTGCTCCGGGACGCACATGGCACCCCGGTCATCGTCGGGCTGTTCCTCGTCCTCTCTCTCCGCGCCCTCTGTCAGGTCTCCAGCCTCCCCCGTGAGTCCCGGAGCCGTGTCGGTGTGTGTCATCGACCGCTGCTCGTGTCTGTGGAGCTTTCCCGAGTGTCTGCCCCACTCACCGTTCCGCTCTCCTTCACCTCGTCTGCTTCCATCCCGCCCGTCGCTCTCGGTGACCACACGGCTTCTCCAGAGTCGCCGTACAAGACCTGGGCGTCTCGACTTGAACATACGATAACCTAAACAGTTTCGGATGAGTCCCGTCGGTCCCGTCCGCTTCTCGGGAGATGCCACATCGATTTACACTCGACGCACAAGACCGTGAGTTTGTGCACGGTGCGCACAGCGTGCGCAGCCGGTGGTCGCCGTTTCCAGGCTTCCTCGCAGCATTAGAAGGTAATGATCAATCACGCATCGCGTTAAACATCACCGAACATCTGATGAGGGAGAAGGCTACATGCAGTCACTGCTCAGTGACCTGCTGTCGCCAACTCAATTAAGCCACTTCTTTCGCCTGCCCTCTCACAAAGTCGTTAACTCCCCGACACTCTGAAGGTCCCACACACAATTCACAGAACATAGTCAGACCGCCCAAAGGGCCAGGATCAGCTTACATGAACAGAAAGACCATCACAATCAGAAACTCAGAACTTTTCCAGACTTTCCAGACTAGAGCCTCTTCGATCCCTTCGTGGTTCCTTGGCTTCGAAAAATAAATCCCTGCAACACTATATCTCGGTTTCTGTCACTGTGTGGGATGCAGAAACTCCGCGTCAGTGTCCCGGGACAAAGCAAAGATCGGACACTCCGGTGCCAAACTCCAGGACGGAATCCGTGCTGAGAAGTTGTTTTAAAGAGAGCTGGAATTACTCCACTCTCCACTCCCCTGCAGGAACTTTTCGGACGCACACACACAAACACACGCGTTCAAACGTGCACACACGCTCCCGCAAACACACACGGACACAAGCTTCAGTCAAGTCAAACGGAATAAAACCTGGATTATCCAATGGTAACTTTTCAAAATAAAACCTACAGCAGTTAAAACGAGAAAGTTTGGGAGGGGGGGATCCAAAAGCGTTTATCCACACTGTAGAGTCTGCCCCAGGGCAGCTGTGGCTACAACTGTAGCTTGCCTCCACCAGTGTGTGAATGTGAGAGTGAATGGGTGGATGACTGGACGTGTAAAAGCGCTTTGGGGTCCCTAGGCGGGACTAGTAAAAGCGCTATACAAATACAGGCCATTTACCATTTACCATTTAGAGTGAGAAAGGCCAAATCCACTGCCACGAATAAGGCTTAAAAAGCGTGTCGTACGTAGACAGAATTTTCTGTAAAACCTCCTGAAAGTAACTTGGGAGTTTTTCTTTCTTTCTTGTTTTCATTAAAGAATGCCATTTTACATTTAATAGTATTATTTTTGATTGTTTGCTCTTGTGCGGACACATTTGAGACATATATGTGCACAAATATTTGTGTCCTTTTATATTTATATGTATATTTACATTTATATTTATATCTACACCTATATCTCTATACTTATCTTAATATTTATCTGTTAAAATCTCTGTTACTTCCTTTTATATGAGTGCTTGACGTTTGTTGTATATATGCTCAACTCAATTTCCTACTGGGATTAAAAGTCTCTCTGATTCTAAAAGATACAATTTTCCGGAACTTTTACGCTTTTATTTTGAAACCAAAGTCACAGCGCCTTGGTTTTCGTTTGGCGTTGACTCCCTCTCTTTCTCTCTCTCTCTCTCTCTCGGGGCCCCAGAGGAAAGCTCTGGAGCCATTGGTTGATTCCCGCCATCATGTGCCAGTCTAGACACTTTGGCGGCTGGGAGCCGCAATGATTGTTGCGCAAACACGGTTTCAAGTTTCTTAACTCATAAAGACGCAACATCCTGCTCTCCTCTGCTCAGTCCTGAGCAGAGACCAAGCAAGAGAAATAGGGTTAACAAGAGTAAGTATTAGCTAATATTGATACATTATTAGTAACATATAGATGACTGTGTGTTTGTATTTATTTATTCATTTATTGTTTAGGTGTGGTACAACATAATTACTGAGTTAATGCGACGCTGAATGTACTCTTTAATTGTTTTACAGGGGATACTGATACAGCAGGTTCTCCATTAATCACACAGTTCAGTTCCTAGCTCCTCTCCTTCACATGTTGAAGTGTCCTTTAAGAAGACACTGAAGCCCACATTCCTTTTGATGGTCAGGATAAACACCTGGAGTGTAAGCAAGGGGCTAGGGCATCCCCCAGTGGCATAGCACTAGTCCAGTGCTGGTCTCTGTGCCTCCTAACTGGTATTTTAACAACTCCTTACAATGTGGTGGGGGGAAGTCCACACCTCATAACAGAAGCATTAACCCTGTCTATTCATGGCTTGTCCAGTTATGTGTGCTAGTCCAAGATCAGTGCCTACTGTCTATATGAGAGGAAGTGAGAGTCAAATTGCAATGGCAGCAGGAGAGAGTTGACAAAGAAGAGGATGCAGTGTCTGTGAGCGGCTACAGCGAGGTTTACTGGGCATCTGTTCAAAATGTGTCCCCCTGTGTAAGTCAATCACAAGCAAATATGCAAAAAGGGAAGAAGGAAGTGATTTGGAAGAGCTTTGTCCTGAGTTTAATGTTTTACAGGTCACTGGAGTCACAGCAGCCATGGAAAACAACAGCCATAAATTATTATTATTATTATCTAAATTTATCACAGACTCCAACAAACCAACTGAAAAAATAGAAAAAAATTCAGATGAGCGTTGCTGCAGCCGCTGAGTTAAACACATGAATAAATGTAAAATGTATTCCTGCAAATGCTCAGAACGGTTTAATAAAACATCACAGGAAGCAGAAAAACTTTGGGGTCAGGTTTTTGGTATTTTGCATATTAGAAGACAAAAAGCTGTAATGAAAATCCCAAATGAACTCAAACAGTGCGGAACGATCCAAAATATCGATAGCATCGATATTTGGATATATAATATAAAAAATTTGGATATATAATATATTTCTGATATTGATTTCAGACTGACACTAGTGGAGCAAGATTTTGTTTCTATCTTCTATGTTCACTGTGTAGCTTACTGAATTCTTTAATAAATTATATATACATATATATATATATATATATGTGTGTGTGTGTATATTTTATTTATAGCCTACAGCACATTTAAACAACAGAAGCTGACCCCAAATAATGCTTTTTTTGGAGTTATATTAATTTTGTCATGTTATTGCAACGAAGCTCGATTAAAATACCCGACTCAGTAGATGTGTTACTGTTGAACCTGCAAGGAAAAACAAATTAGAAGACAAAAGCTCACTGGAAGATGGCTTTTATATGATTTATCTATTTTATTCAGTTAATGAAGAGTATTAATTACATACAAATCTCTTTTTTCTTTTATTATTATGCATTTTATCTTTTTTATCAAACACTTTTCTTGTTTTATTATTATTGTTATTCTTACTGCTTTGTGCAAACTGATCCTCCAAAAGAATATGTGTCAGTAGCACCGTCATCATTTTTGGCAAAAGTGCGGTGTGTGTGTGTTGGCGGTGATTTGTGTTGAGAGCGTGGGAAGAGGAGGGTGGTGGTGTGTTAAGGTTGGTGGGAGAGCAGACAGGGTGTCCGGCACCAAACCACCTCCCAAAATAAACGCCGTCCCTGCGTCTCTGTGTCTGTCCAGCGGCAGACCCGCGGGCTCCCTCAGCTCCAGCGGCAGCAGAGTGGAGTCTGGGGCCAGGCGGCCTGTCACAGGAACAACATGTCATCAGCTTCATCGCTCCCCTAATGGCTCTACTCTAGACCAGAGATATGGCAGACAGTATGTTGCCCCACCAAGGCGGCAGTTTACTCTGCAAACACACACACACACACACACACACACTGTGGCTGTCCACTCCCAGCCATTTACAGGCTAGCAGTGGAGAGACTAGGAGGCCCCCTTATAAAAACAGTCAGGGGTGCTGGAGATAATGTCGAGCCAGACCTCTGGACTCAGGCCAGGCTGCCCTCTTAATCAGATGCCCATAGGAAACACTGCATATGTAAACACTGCCAAGGGTTAGCAACACGGCCAGCGTTTACAGGGTTTACCTGCCAGGATCAGTGATCCTGACTTCAAGGAATATTTCAGCATTTAAAAGATGATTTGCTTTCGTGCAAAGATTTACATGAATACCACTCTGCTGCACGCGCTGTTGGACATGATTTCACGCCCATGTTATGTGGGAGGAAAAGCAGTGATGGGAATGAGGCCCACTTCATGTCATTTGATGACTCGAGTTGTCTGCCGTCGCTCTGCTGGCGCCGCTGTTTCTTACTCAATACCGGAGGCTAAAGTAGTCTTAGCAAATTCACACTTACAAAAATGACTTGGAGGATAGTTTCAACTTTTAAGGGCCAAGAGAGTCTGCGGCAAAATGGAGGTATCACTAACTCTGGATTTCAAGTCTCATGTGCATCACCATTACTGCATCATAGCAGCAGTGTCCACTGACAGTGGTTCCCAGTCGCTGTTTGTGATGTTGTCCTATTAAAGCAATTAAGATTATTTTACAGAATCCGTACGTCCAATGATTCCAGAGATTTTAGCTAGCTAAAGCTCCAGTCACAAAGGCGACTCAGCGATGTAAAGGTGACCTCCAGGAACCATTAAAAGCGTATTTCCTTATTGACCTGTGGTTGCCAGGGTTCACCAACCAGTCTCTAGGCCTGTGTGACTGGGGTTTAATGTTGGGATTATACTTCCTGACATGTGATAACTGGCACCACCATGGATATGCAGTCAGCGCTGTTGTGTTTATATTCCAGTCTGCTTGGAATACTGTTGTGATTTACAGTTGATTCGATGGGAAGACATAGACATCCATAAAAGCCTTGCATTTCACCATGTTAAATCTATGAAATTGATTGTGGTGCTATTGGGAACACAATTCCTTCTTTTGATCTTCTGCCTTCAAACATCTTGATTTTTGACACCAGCAGTAAACCTATGCAGACTCAGAGTGGGGCCCTCTCAGTGGAGGATTAAGGTTCACTGTCCTGAGAACTGGCTGCCCTTATTTCCTAGACATTGTTGTCAAAAGTAGCATTACATCAAGTAGTAGGAACCTGCACACTTTAGGCTGATTTCATTGAAATGCATACCTGTTATTTTAGTTTTGCATTTTGTAATTAGGTTTTGTTTTGTTTGTTTCGTTTTGACCTTTTGTTTTTACTTCAGTTTAGTTTCAGGTATTTTCCAGAGTGGGCGTGCGTGTTGACTCACAGTCTACAGTCGCCCTGTAGAGTCTCAATAAAAATACCCATCAAAGCTTCATCGAGGAAACTGTATTAGCATTTAAAAAACAAAACTAACTATCTAACAAATACTGAAATTGAAATTTACTTTATTATTACCTTTTTAAATTTTATGCAGTTTTCCAAGTTCATCAAATCAGCAAGTTTAACTTCTTTTTTTCAAAAGTCAAAAAAGTTAACTAAAACATTTAAAACATTTTTTTTTAAGTTTTACTTTTTATTTTAGTTTTAACTATAAAAACCTTGGTGTTTGCTGTGTTGTAGGAAGACGTCACTTAACTGCTAGTACTTACTAGACTTATCTACACTGTACGTCCTAATAACAGCTTGCACAAAAAACTACTGATTTGACCTGTTAACTAACTTGAACAGAGGATTTTACACAAGACATCAACGGTTGTTTGCTTTTGGTTGTACATCTGCACTTTTAGTGCTCCAAGTGTTAGCACCAAAGATTTGCTAAACCTTTAACTTTTCCCATCATAATTGTGACGAGAACCTTGCGTTAATGTTTGGAATCATCACCACCTGATGCCGACGTACATTTTTTTATCTTAATCTTTGTGAGGACGATATGACAAGTTCGGATTGGGAAAACTTGGGATTTCAGGTCTCTTTTTTTGCAACACGCTCAGTGTGTAATAACTGCATAAAAGCACAGAACC